AAATCTGTCTTGGAAAAAGTGCAGCTGGAATGCTCCTTAGAAGCAAGGATGTGTAGACGTCCTCTCCCATACTTTGGGCATGTTATTGGAAGAGATCCTTTCCCAGAAAAGGGCATCAGGCTTGGTACAGTAGAGGCAGACCTTTGACTAGATGGCTTGACAGAGTGCCCACACAAATGGGCTCAATCATCAGAACTCTGGGGAGGGTGGTGCAGGAACACCCTCACCTGTTTTGTTCTGCTGCACAAAGGGTCACTACGAGTAGGCGCTGACGCTAAAGCACTGGACAACTGTAGTAGGCAGCACTCTTTAACCTCCCATGCGTGGTTACTTGGGTCCTTATTGCTTACTGTCTGTCCCTTTAGACTTTAAGCTCTGTGAGAGTCAGGCCGTCCCTCTCTCTTATTCCCACTGTCTCTCCAGCACCTAAATTAACACCTGGCACGTAGGAAGCCCTCTGAACAAGATTGAAAACATGTACATTGAAATTGAAATTTGAAATATGATTCTTGTATAAGTGGCTAGCCTGTATAGGACTCAAATCATTATTTACCTTCCTTCCCACCTCTAAAGAAACCTTAATATTATAAAGCATCATCAGACTTCATCTTTCAAATGTCTCCCCTGAAGATGCTAAGACTCAAAAAAAGTATCAAGAATAAAAGTTAGTTGGCAATCGCGAGTTGGAATCAACACCACAGCAAATGCCTTTGAAAGGAGGAGTTGGTTAGTGAAACAAAGTATCTTTTCTCTCTTCCCATAGATGAGAAAGAACATTGGCCCTCGTTTCAGAAAAGCTCAGCCTGGCGTGTGACCTGGGATGAGTAATGTGACCTCCCAAATTCATGGTGTCATTGTAAATTTTAAATGTGGCAGGATGCACAGCACACTTTAAAATCTGCATTGATTGCCCTTTACTACTCGAAGGCAGAGATGCTGCAGAATGCGGCACCTTAAGGAAATCCACGTGATAGTCGGACTTACCTCACTGTGAAGTAGCTCCAGCGGTTCTATCGTGTACACAAAGGTATCGTCCTCAAACATGCCACTAGAACACAAGAAGCCACACCAGAGAGAATTAGCAGGTACAGAAAATGGCAAGAGAGTCAGCAAATTAGCATTAGCTTCTTTGAAAATAGGTGTCTCAGCAAATCCCTTTATACTGCCCACATAAAATCCACCTCTCTTCGTTACAGAACTCACTGCGGTCCTCCACTAGAGAGCACTCAAATCACAAAATGTGGAACAGAAAACCCCAAGAGCAGGCAGATTGTACCTAAGATCATCATCTTAAAAGTAAAATGGGCAGATTAGTTTGAGCTGGGATCGGAGTATCCCTGGGGCTCCGGTGTCCTGAGTTGCCATTGCAACGCAATGTACAGTTGGCAGGCATTTGTTGTGCGAATCCAAATCCCATCTCCAAGACAACTGGAGGGTGTACACATGAGAATAATCTAAAGGCATTGGGCCCTGAAGAGGCATACATCAGTATGCTGCGGCTTTCTGTCCATCAGCATGTGGTACAAACTACACGGAAATTTTGACAGATTGAGAGTTTTTTAAATAAATAGTACCAAGATGTTCAAGAACCTTTTCCAGCACATTGCCAAAACAAGATCTTTACACAAAGTGCTACTGCTCTCGGGACGAAAGGGTAGGACATTTGTGAGGATAGACACCTCTGGGAAACCTTCCCAGACGAGACATCGCTCATAGCTCCTGTGCTCTCTTTCACAGCACTTACCAAAATGACCATGGCAGGAGGACCCCTGATGGTGTCGTGATTAACATGGTGAGCTGATAGCCACAGGGTCAGCAGTTCAAGACTGCAGCTTCTCAGGAGAAAGATGAGGTAGCTTTCTATTCCTATAAAGAGTTACCATCTCAGAAACCCACAGGGACAGTTCTACTCTGAGTTATGAGTTAAACTGGAACCTATGACAAGGAGGACTTTTTGTGAAATTATTGGTCCAAGGAGCCCTGGTGGCACAGCATTTAACTGGTTGGCTACAGACCAAAAAGGTGGTGGCTGGAACCAAAACAGTGGATCCAGAGGAGAAAGATGGAGTGAGCTGTTCCCATAAAGAGTATAGGGCCCACCGAGAGGGTCACCCATAAGATCCTATGGGAAAGTTCTACTCTGTCACCTGGGGCCACTAGGAGTCAAAAGCCACTTGATGACTGACCCCACCCCCCCCAACCGTGTCACTTGTGGAATCACTGAAACTCCTGTGAACTCTTAAGTGTTCAAGGAACAGGGACTTTGTCCTCCTCGTTGCCCCGGGAAGCCCAATCTTTCATGTGAAACTGGCCCAGAAGAGTCACTCGATCCATATCTGCAAAAGGAAACCCAGGATGGGTGACTGGATGAAGGCCCACTGAGATTCCACCTACTGAAGTCCATCGCAGGTGGAGAGAGCCGCCCTGGAGTCCTCGATGCCTCGGATGCTCCCGTGGTAGTAACAGTGCTCTCCACCCTGTCAAACAGAAGGCGATGTCTTTAACCGAGCAGCTATGTTTTGCGCAATGTAATGCTCTTTGGTGTGCTTCTGCAAACCAAAAGTAAATGCAGGGATGCAGGGATTGGAATGTGCACTTTGGATAAGCGTCCTAGAAGCTCCTCTGGAGTATACCAAGTCTCGAGAGGATTAAGCAATTACTCACGTCTTTTCTAATGAGCAGGGATGTATTAAGTTTAATAAAGGAGCAAGGCCTAGAAAGGAATCATATAGTAATGGCACTGGTAAACCAGGTACACATCTTTAAAGCATGTAAGGGAGTAAATACTTACCAGATGTGGTAATGGAATAAGATCGTATGTCTCACTGGGGACAGATCCACCCCAGTGCTGTTATTTATAATTACCTTTTGGGCAACTACATAAAACCTGACCATTTGCTTTTTTACCTTTTAAAATTAGTTTAAAATTTGAAAAATAGAAATATAGGTGAACGTAGATTTGGAAGTCAAGGAGTAGCCTATATGGGGAGCTCAAAAAGTTCACGGAACAATAGAATTAAAACATAATGGCATTTTCCCATAAACTTTATGAAGCGCCTTTCATATTTTTTAAAAAAACACAACCATTTCCTGTTTGTCTTTCTTTCCACCTGTGACAGCTATTTTAATTCATTTAACTGTTTCTTAGGCTGTTTACTTATATATTGCAGAATGAAATACTAAACTGTCTTCGTTTATTCCAGTTTAGAGATGATCTTCTGAATGTAGACATTTGAAAACCCCTCTGGCCCCAAATACAGGGGTTTAACTACTTGCAAGGCTTTCGACAAAGCTTTCTGTTCCAGGTCCTCTCCGTCCTAGATGCTTCCGAGCTCAGGGACATGAGGGGGTCAGTTCGTCTTGGGTTCCTCTGACGGGACAGAGCAGACAGAGCAGGAAATGCTGAAACCCAAACCTGCCCCCTCAACATCTCTTTCGTATCTTCTAATGTTTCCTTGGTGCGTTCAGCTGTTGACTCTCTTCACCCTTATGGGTTTAACTCTTCTCTCACTCTTCAACTTCTATATGAGTGGCTTACTGGGACGGAACAGACATAAATATGTGTATGAGGTTACTTTTAAAAGTCTGTTGACATCCCTTCACAGAAGATCACAAGGAAGAGACAAGCCAGTCAGGGTGCTGTACAGCACCGAAGAAGCATACACCTTTCCTCTAGGTCTTTAATGCCTCCCCCACACTGTCATGATCCCAATTCTACCTTACAAATCCGGGTAGACCCGAGTGTGTACACTGGTACAGACAAGAGCTCACGACAGAGGGAATCCAGGACAGATCTATCCCTCAGGGCCAATAATGAGAATAACAATAGCAGAAGGGGAAGGGGAAGT